CCTTGATACGGACATACAGCGGTAATTTACCTATACACTTACATTTTTCTCCTTGCGCAGCTAACACTGTTGTATTATCCGAATTATATATACGATATTTTCGAAAATACTTCCTAAAAAAATCTTCTGCCACACAGGAACACTGCGCGCCTGTATCCAGGAGTGCGGTGGCTGGGATATTATTCACCAACACTTCAATCTTCGGAAGAGTCAAATTTTTCACCATTACTGTATTTAACTTAAAGGAAGAGGGGTTTTCGTGGCCTTCGGATTTCCGCACCCTCCCGTCAGCAGAAATCCGTTTTAGTTTAAATCTTTTTCCTTTCCATGCTTTCCTTCTTTTCCACTGGCCTTGAGACTTTTTTCCTGGATTGCATTGAACTGTCGACGTTCGCCGGCTGTTTTTGAATGCTCGGGTTTCCTTGCCCACTGATTCGCTTTGCTTCCGTAGCGTGTGCTTGAGTTTGCTGTAGTCTTGGCGCACCAAATTGGTTTCGCTGTTGATATTGGCGCCTTCTTTCAATGTCCGCCGTTCTTCTACTTTCAAACTGGATTGCTAGCTCAAATAACTTTTCCAGTGTAGTCGGATTTCTTAATTCAATAAAGTCTTGCACTTGGGGCAGTAAACCTCGGCAAAATCACTTGAATTATCTCAGGATCCGGACGGTTTCCATACAAGAGTTTGAAGACGTGAATTTTTCTTAAAATAAAGCTTGAGAGATTTTCGATTCTTTGCTGATATATGCTGAAAAGTTCCGTTTCTAATTTCGCACGATCCCTTACAACAGGGAAGGCTTTTACTAGGGCAGTCTTGAAATTTTCGTTAGTATAGGTGGGACTTCCTGCTTGACACAAGAGACTTCTGCCTATACATTTGAACCAGTTAAGCGCTGGTAGCTAAGGTAACTTTTTGAAACTCGTGCACGGGGTAGAGCATGAAGTGGTCATCCAATTTTTCCAAAAAACTGGTTACCGGTGAGTTTCCATTAAATGTTGCTTCTGGTTTCATCGAAGCGCGCATGGTCTGGACGATGTAACCAAATCCTTCCAGGGCGGCAGCTGGCATTTCTGGATTCTGAGCCTCTTCTGCAGGCACCACAGGTTCTTGAAACTCGGCCATGGTTATTCTTCTTCGTTGGGCGCCACTATCAGGTTCAATGTTCCGTCTTACTTTCTTTGGGAACATGCAAGGACCTGACTCGGAACAGAGAGCTTACTAAAGCTATGTTCAATAACTGTGGGAAGTAGACAGGATAACACAAGAAGGTATACAAAACCCTTTATTTTCTCTCTTTACATAATTTCCGTACTTCGGAATACAAAGACCCACTACTTGTGGTCTAAACGTAAGAATATAAAAAAATATAACTAAACGCTAACTTAACTTTGAAATAATAAACGTGGAAGATTGGCCTTATTTAACAGGCCGTATGTAGTACAGAGAACTAGTAAGAGAACTGTTAACATTACAATACGTTTAAAAATTATCAAGAGGATTAAACCTCTGGCCTGGAAGGCAACAGCAACGGAGTAAAACTTCAGGTAAGCGGCTGCTTCGCTACTCTTCTTCTCTCGCTGCAAAAGCACAACTAAGTATTAGGTTTAGACAATTTTATAAAAGTTAACGCTTAATTATGTGAAGTAGAAAAAAGGATAGTAAAGTTATAAAAAAATAGTAACTAACAACGAAGCTGAGGTAGCTCTACGTGGTTTAGCATTAAGCTCTGAAAACTATGAAATTGCCTTGAACATATTAAAAGAACGCTTTGGTCGAAAAGATATTATTATCGATGCGCATATGGCAAGACTTTTAAACTTAAGTCCAGTACGAAAATCATATGACATTGTAGCGTTGCGTAGACTTTACTCAGAATGCGAAACACATATTCGAGGATTAGAAAATAACGGAATTAATCCTAATAGTTACAGTTGTCTATTGTATCCAGTGTTGTTAAAATCGATACCCAAAGATTTGTCCTTAGAATTTTCTCGTAAAACACATTCGGAAGATGAAAACAAAATATCTGATTTATTGGAATTTTTAAAGATTGAAATTCAGTGTCGTGAACGTAACGAGTACTTAAGTAGAGACTTTAATTTAAACACTTCAGATTCGCGATTGGAAACTAAATTTAATCCTTTACAAAAACCTAATGAAAAGTATGGGAGATTTAATAAAACCAAAATTGAATATAAGGAGGAAAATAAATTAAATTCGAACATTCCTACTACTTCTGCATTTATTGTTGATGTGAAAAAATGTATATTTTGTACAAAACCGAAAATAGAGCACGATTCTACCTCTTGTCCCTTATCGGTAGAACAGAGAAAATTAATTCTTAGAAAATATGGTATATGTTACGCTTGCCTTTCGAAGGGGCACGTATATAAGCAGTGTCAAAAGAAATCTATTTGTGGAATTTGTAAACGTTTTATGCATCACGAATTGATTTGCGATCAACCCAATGTTTATTCTTCTTTCCCCGCTCTGGAGTCTCGTCAGACCGTCGACGCGAATAAATGAAATGTGTCTTCCGTAGCATGTGTGAATGAATCCGATGATTGCGACATACTACTTGAAACTTGCTCGGCAGTATTAATAGGCAGTAATAAAAGCAAAGAGATTAATATTTTGTTAGATAATGCATCACAGAGATGTTTTTTTGAGAAAAGAAGTAGCCGTAGAAATGAAACTACCCATAATTAGACAAGAAAGTCTAGCTGTTTACACTTTCGGCTCTAGAGTGCCAATACAAAAAACGTATGACGTAGTTCGGTTTTCACTTTGTAATTTATGTGATTCGGACAAGAAAATAACGATTGAAGCACTTTTGACTGACTTGGATCGCAGTTTAAAGTATCACATAACAAATTAATGCAAATACTTTCGAGGAAGAACATTCAGTTGTCAAACTTAAGTAAATCGTCAGGAAATGAATTGTCTCTCCTTATTGGAGCACAGTATTTTTGGATATTCATACGGGAGAAAAACAGCGATTAAATAAATCTTTGTATTTGATTGATACTCTGTTTGGAAGGGTTGTTCAAGGTCGAATCCCTCCATCAGATTTAAATGCGAATCGGGATATTTCTATTATGAAAATTGAATGTTGCGCCGCATTAAATGAAAAACTAACGCAGTTTTGGCAGTTAGATTCAATGGGGATAAATGATACTCACAGTGGAGATTTTAAATTTAAAGAGGAATTTATTTCTCAATTCGAAAGTAATTTAAAATATGAAAATGGAATGTATACAACTAAATTATTCTGGGACGGTAAACCAGAAAACTTGTCTAACAATTTCGCGGTAGCAAAACGAAGATTTCGTAACTTAAGTGTAAAAATGAAAGAAAATGATTGGGTTTATAATGAATATAAGAATATAGTTAAGGAGCAATTAAAACTGAATATCGTTGAAGAATGTCCTTTCGGCTTAGAAGAGAATTCTTATTATATGCCTCATTCAGCTGTAGTAAGATCGGATAGGGACACTACGAAAGTCAGATTGGTTTTCGATGCATCGTCAAAAGGTAATGGGTGCAAATCTCTTAATGAATGCTTAAATCCTGGGCCACCGTTGAATCCCAGAATTTTGGATGTAATCTTGCGATTTCGCGAAAATGAATATGCATTCAGCTGTGATATTCAAGGAGCATTTTTGACTATAGGAATAGCGGAAGAGGATAGAGACTATTTACGTTTTTTCTGGTTTCCAGATGAAAGTGATTCAAAAACTTACAAAATTTACGAATGACTCGCGTTACCTTTGGAGTGACATCAAGCCCATTTATCCTTGCTGCGACTATTAAATACCACATTAGAAAATATAAACTTGAACAAAGCGAAACTTGTGAAATGCTTGACTCGGCACTTTATGTAGATGATCTTTTTTACGGAGCAAATACAATAGAGGAAACTTTAGAACTTTCACAGAGCGCTGTAAAAATTCTTAAAGATGCGAACATGAATTTAAGAAAATTTAATACTAATTCGGATGAGTTGAGAAATTTATGGAGTGAACGAGGTTTGTCTGATGTGACAGAAACTAAAGAACGTCCTTTGAAGGTTTTAGGCATAATATGGAACACCGAAGAAGATACTTTTAAGTTAGATGTAAAACCTCTACTGGACATGACCTGTGATAGGAAGAATTCAAAACGTAGTGTACTTCAGACAGCTTCGAAGTTATTTGATCCTATGGGAATTGCATCACCTTTTATTGTTCTCATAAAATTATTAATGCAAGAAATATGGGAACTTGGTTTAGGATGGGATGATGAGCTATCAACTGACTTGAAGAAAAAATGGGATAATTGGTGCTCTCAGATTTATCTGTTGAAAGATTTGACAATCGAAAGAAAATATTTCTCCATACCATGGAAGTTGGTGAAAGAATTAGAACTACACATATTTTCTGACGCTTCTCCTAAAGCTTTCGGAGCAGTTGCGTACTTCCGTTACGTGTCAAGTGATGATTGTATTTATACAAGTTTTATCACTGCGAAATCTAGAATCGCACCGCTTAAAAGGTTGACATTACCGAGGCTTGAACTTATGGGAGCTGTTATTTCTTCTAGACTTTTCCAATATTTGAAAACAAATTTTAAATTTCCTGTGTCCTAGGGTATATATGTGGACAGATTCCTTAATCGCTCTTCATTGGATTAAAGGGAAAGCTTCAAAATGGAAACCTTTTGTATCGAACCGTGTATCCGAAATCCAGTCTAGAACTGATCCTGCTGATTGGAATCACTGTAGTGGGCAGGATAATCCTGCAGATTTCATATCTCGAGGAGCTACCGTGGAAAAGTTTATGTCCAGTTCGATTTGGATGCAAGGTCCAGAATGGCTTCGGTTGAAGAAAAGGGATTGGCCAAAAGGCTCTAATTATGAAATTTGTCTAGAGATTTCTCCAGAAGTATATTGCGAAAAAAGAAGTAAACTGGAAGAAGTATCGTCTTTTGTGTGTGCGAAGTGCAATCGAATTTGACACATTTAATGGATTTGAATAGATATAGTAGTTTAAGAAAATTATACCGTGTTACAAGTTGGATACTACGATTTATATACAACCTTAAATTTAAAACTAAACGATGTGGTGAACTAAGCACTGAAGAACTTAACGAGGCTGAAATTATCTGGACAAAAACTGTTCAAAGTGAAGCTTTTGCGGAAGAGCTGTCCTCTTTGAGACAGGGTAAAACAATTTCTAAGACTTCCTCTATTCTAGAACTGAATCCCTTTCTTAATAATGACGGGATAATGCATGTTGGTGGAAGACTTCAGAAGTCAAGACTTTCTTACCTTCAAAGACACCCAATTATTATGCCCTCAAAACATCACTTTGTGAATTTATTAGTGTGGGATGCACACAGCAAAGTGTTTCACGGTGGAATTTCTGAAACTTTGATAGAAATACGCGAAAGATACTGGATAATTAAAGGAAGACAAACTGTTAAAAATATCTTAAGAAAATGTATTCTGTGTAAACGATTTAATTCTTCTCCTGGTGTGCAAGTTACTGCTCCTTTACCAGTAAATAGAACAGAAGAATTACCTCCTTTTTCTGTAGTAGGTATAGATTTCGGTGGACCACTTTATACCAAAGACAGTGATGAGAAAAACTACATCGTGTTGTTTACTTGTGGAGTAACGCGAGCTGAGCTCTTCATTTAGAGTTTGTTGGTAGCATGACCACAGAAACATTTCTTCTTGCTTTTCGACGATTCATTGCTCGTCGAGGTCTATGTTCTCAGGTTTTGACAGGCAATGCTAAAACTTTCAGACGATCAGAGCTTGAACTTAAAAATTTGTGGACTGTCATTAGTCAGCCAACAGTAAAATACTTTTATGCCTCCCACAAAATCCAGTGGTGCTACATCGCTGAGAAAGCTGCGTGATGTGGTGGCTTCTATGAAAGACTAATTAAATCTGTAAAACTTGCTTTACGAAAAACTCAAAAAAAACTACTTTATCTCTAGATGAGTTAGAAACTCTAATTATTGAAATTGAAAGTGTTCTTAACTCTCGTCTGTTAACTTATGTTTATTCTGAATTACAGGAACCTATGCCTCTAACTCCAGCTCATATGCTATTGGGGCGCAGGGTGAATAGTTTGCCTCCTGCCAGGCTTCATTTTGATTCTAATTTAGTTAATAGGAAAATGCTAATTAAAAGATTTAATTATCGAGAAAGATTGGTAAGTATGTTTTGGAATAAATGGAAAAATGAATACTTATTAATGCTGAGATCTGTTCATTGTGTTAAACCTTCAGGTAAAATTACTGAATTTAAAGTTAATGATATTATTATTGTATTAATTCATGATGAAAAGCTACCTAGACATTTTGGAAATTAGGAAGAGTTGTAACAGTATTTCCTGGCAGAGATGGAAAAGTAAGGTCTTGTGAAATTAAAAACAGGTACATCAGTTATTAAAAGAGACCTGTGCAGCTTTTATATAATCTTGAAATAAATGAATAAATTTAATTGTTTATTATATGTTTATTAATCTGTATTATTGTTACAGGACTATTCCATATATGTGATGAAAGTTTTAATGTATGTACAGGTATTGAGTTGCCAGCTTATTATCTTTATTATATTTTATTGCAGGTAACTTTACAAATTATTTAAAGATGAATGATTTGTTTATATAGTAAATAAGTGTAGTTTCTTTAATATGTGAATTGATTGAACTTTACATTGTAAAAGTTTCTTTTGTTAAATCTGTTTTAATGTAAGTGTAAGTGTTTGAATGAACCCCTGGTCATTCGGGGGGCAGTCTGTAGAAACTGTATTGCACCAGATAGCGCTGTGTGCGCTTGAATTCTTCGGACTAGTGCAGAACCTTGATGATTGCGAAAGATGTAACACCAACGCGAAACATTAACCAAAGTTTATATGTGCCTCTCTTTGTTGTAAATGTATTTAATTGTGTCGTCAATAAAATATGGAGAAAATGATAAAAGGCGAGAATGCGTCTGACAGGTAAGTGAGATTTCTTTATATTTGATTTGAATTGAGTTTTAGCGACAAAGAATGTGTATGCTTATTTACAGCGTGTACTCTCCAATTGACTTTAATTAGTGTTAATCTTATGTAAATATTTTGTAATCTACTTAATACCTCTTATATATAGTATATAAATAAAATAATGTGTGAGAAATAAAGAAGTCCCATTATTGGATTACCACCACGGATGACAGCAAACTAAAGAAACTTTCAAAATCAATCATCACGTTGGTGTCAGGTGTGGGGTCACTTTGTCGTCGTGGTGAGCGTCATCAAGAAGTTAAGAGGTAGGCAATAATTTTATCTGACTTTTTGATTTCTTCTCTTATTGCTTGAAAATAAGATAAACTGTTTGCTGGAAAAGGAATAAGAAAAGAAGATTTAAAATTTGTGGCGGAAGAATTAGGCCAGGCTGTTCCTCCTAACTCAACAGTAGCTGATCTAAGAAAACTTATTTTACAAAGTTCAGAATCTGAGAATGATCCGAAATTCGTTACAGAAATTCTAAAGAGCACGGTCTCAGATAGGCGTAAACGTGAGAATCGAGCTCTGGAACTAGAGAAATTAAAATTAGTGCATGATAATCAATTAGAACTGGCTCGTATCCAAATTAATACAAGTAGGAATCCCAATGTAGAAAGAACACTAACATTAGAAGATATGATTAAAAGTGTTCGAGCATTGACAATTCCCGTGCCGCAACGTGCAGAAACCTGAAATTTATTCTTCACCTCTTTAGAAAAAACTTTTGAAATTAAGAACATCCCTACCGAAATGAAAATAGAAATATTACTTCATATATTGGGAGAAAAAGCAACGAAACTGTTAACCTATGTTAAAAGCGAAGAAATGCGTAATTACGAACGGGTGAAATCAATCGTTCTAAGGGAATTTGAACCAACAGCAGCAGATGCATGCTTAGAACAATTTTAGAAAAGCTAAACGGTTCCGAAATGAAACCCATATACAGTTTGCCTCAAGATTAAGAGCGACATGGGATTACTATTGCAAATTAAGAAAAGTTTAAATTAAGAAGATTTTGAAACTTTAAATGAATTAATTGTAGCAGTCAAAATTGATGGAATCACTAGATAGCGAAACAGCAGCCCATATAAAAATACGTAAATTCAAGGGAATAACTGGTTCACTCCAATAGATTTAGCTAAAGAAAGCGATCTCTATTTTACTTCGAAAGGAAAAACGCTCACGCAGAGAGTAATAAGCGATGCGGCTGCATTTCCCGGTCAACAGTTTCCAATTACCAGCGCAGAGAGAATAATTCAAACCCAGGGGGTAAGACCCCATAACCACTCCCAAACTAGAAGCAGCTGGAAGAGGAAAGGAAATTTTCTTTTAATTGACGGTTTGATATATCATAATGACAAGGTTTCGGGGAAAAGGTATCTCAACTGGTATTACCCACGAAAAGACGCTCGAAATTTCTTCAATTAGCACACGAATCAGTCTTCGGTGCACACTTAGGAATTAGGCAGAGCAAAGAGCGGATTCGATATAACTTTTATTGGCCTTCCATGGTTAAGGACATTGCGGAGTACTTTAAATTTTATGAAAATTGTCAGCTGAGAAATCCGGAAAGAATACATGAGAGAGCACCCATAACCCCAGTGTGCAGACCGGATTTGCCATTCGAAGCCGATGGATATTATTGGTGCTATCGATCCACCATCGGGTCGAGGACATAAATATGTGTTAAGTGTGATGGATCAGCATACGCGATGGCCAGAAGCTATACCTATAACTTCTTTGAGTGCTAAGTCTACGGGTGAAACACTATTGCAAATATTTTCTAGGACAGGAGTACCAAATGTAGTAGCAAGCGATCAGGGAACTAATTTTACTTCGGCATTGACCCAGGAATTTCTTAGAAGAATTGGGGCATCCGCGAGATTTTCATGTCCAGGTCATGCAGGTAGCAATGGTTTAATAGAACGACGGAATAGAGTCCTTAAGAATATGTTACATCATGTAATACGAGAGAGGATGGGACAAACAAAATTCCATTTCTATTATTTGCTTATAGAGAGGTTCCAAACTGCACTACAGGACTGATGTGCGGTAGTTCTTCTGATTATAGGTGCCATCATTGTGTGGATTCTGTGTGACTTTAAGTGACATTAATGGTAAACTATGGCGACACTTTATGTGATTCTATATGACTTGAACTCTTTGAACTATATTGAAATAAGTGACTTTAGTCAATATCTGACTAAGTGGAAGCTTAAACCATGACAAAAAACACACGCCTCCTATTGTATTTTTGTTATATTAAATAACCATATCTATCTTTTATATTTTACAGGTTCAGTGGAGATAAGATTTCTCATATGGTTATTATGTTAGGTATATTTTAATCGAATTTTTAATATTTCATGCTTTGGTGTGACTTGAACTCTGTGAACTATATTGAAATAAGTTTATATGTATGTTTAGATATGTCATGTTGAGTTAGCTGTATGATATATTATTTGCTATGATTTCTATGATTTATTAGAAAATTTTTTTCATGTATTTTTTATAGATAATAGTGATTAATCTATTATTGATAATTGTGAATGATCAAGGTAAGAAATTTGTATTGTATGAAAACTTATTCATGAAATTTATATGAATTGATGATAGAAATGTTTCAATGTATCAGACGGTTATCAGATATGTGATCTTGGGTTTGCACCCCAATCACAATCTTAGGTGGGGGTGTAATGCCTGATACCTCCCTCCCCCTGGTATTCGACATGGAGGTAGGAAAGGGAGGAGGAGCCATTCCGCGATAGAAGTGAAGCACTGCTCTGAAGCTTGGGTCACCAGACGGGGTGTTCTTTGTTTACATTCAGAAGCTCGCTTGACAAGATTCTGATAGTATTTCGACACACGACAGTTCCATAGAAATCGAAAAAGGGACACTCTCGCATGAAAGAAACATTCATAGTGTGATGGATAATAGCAATTTGTATAGTTTACTGACATTTACGCAAAAATCACATCTTGGTTATTTTTCGATAACTAACAACAGCGATTTTGATTATGGAATTTGTTTTATAAAATTCTAAGCAGTTGCCACTACAAAAATATAGATTTTAAGAAATTGCTAAAAGAGATCTGCCAAAATTTATTTTCTAGATTTGAAAAGTTTGAAACTTGATGGCTAAATGTAAATATAAAATTATGTATGTTAAAATATTTGTAATTAGGCACATAGGTCAGATTAAGTTTTTATTAAATAGAGTAACGCATGCAAGGGCTATCTGCCTAAAGAGAGAGATGCCATCGTGGAGGAATTTTGAAGAAAAACTGACCTTTGAGTGGGTATTAAAAACAATACTTATAATTTTCATTCAAATTATATTCATATATATTTTTTATGTAAAACTTTCGGGTGTATGCTAAATTAGTGTAAATTACTTTAAACGAAAAATATAGTGAATGCACAGAAATTAAAGATTTGCACATGCCGGAAATGATAAATAGGAAATATGTATGGGTATTTATGCATGTGCTTGCAAAAAGCATGTATCTGCCTTTGACAAAATACTTAAATATTCATTAAATTATTTATAAATGTATTTGAAATGAAGAATTTATTCATTTATAAACAACTGTGAAAGTACTGTGAAGAAATCTAATGATTAAATGTATCTAATTTA